GGATAACTCTGCCTCTTTCTTAGCCTTCAGGTATTAGGAATATGAGTGCAGAACAGTCAGCTTCCACTTTAGAGGGCTCAGGAGAAGTGGGAGCCTTATACATGGTCTGTATTCAGTCCAGTAAAAAAAAAGTCAATGAAAATTTCAAAAAAGCTTTAGGATTTTGAGCAATTTTGTTTATAAGTCTCTGTACATTTTAGAGGGCTGAGTGGAAGGGTGTGGCAGAGGGGCGAGATTAGGTCAGTTAGTCAAATGCACAGACCAAGTGTGGGAATTTGGATGAGGGTGTTGGTGATAAAGCACTGAAGGATGGGATGTAGGGGCTTCCTGTAGTCACAGAAGTAAGCAGAGATGACAGCTGTAATGTCAGATGGTAACTTCCCTTTTTGCAGCTGAAATGTAGCAACCTCTGCCTGGAGCCCTTGCATGCTCTATTCTTCTCAAAATGGGGCAATATCAAACTGATGTCGGCACTGCCATGTTCATCACAGAATTATTCACAAAAGCCAAGACAACCTAAATATCCATCGACAGATGAATAGATACAGAAAATATAGTACATATATGCACAATGGAATACTATTCAGTCATTACAAAATAATGAAATCCTGTCATTCGCAGTAACATGGATAGAACTGGACGTCATGATGTTAAGTGAAATAAGCCAGATGCAAAAGAGCAAATTAACATTATCTCTCTTTTAAGAGGAATCTAAGAAAATCAAACTTATGGAAGCAGAGAAGAGAATGCTAGAATAGAATAGAATAAAGAGAACTATGCTTTCCTTAATAAGCATTAAAAATGTTGGTGAAGTGAAAAATACTTAGTGACCAAGACATTTTACAGCATGAATATTGCCAGGAGCTGGTGGGAGGTGTGGACCAAAGAATATAAAGTCTCAGTTATGCAAGATGAAGAAGTTCTAGTGATCTACTGTACAGCATGGTACCTATAGTTAGCAATATTGTATTGTACACTTAAAAATTTTGGAGGAGATGCATGGGTTCCAGGTGTAGATTGTAGTGATAATTTTATGGAATCTACTACTCTCCAGTCTCCTAAAGTTGTATATATTAAATACATACAAGTTTTTGTATGTCAATCATGTCTCATTGGGACAATATCAAATGCCCTCAAAGATAATGACCAACAAAAATGCTCAGTATTCTATCTCATGAGGATATTTTAGGGCCCTGAGAATATTGTCAAAATGTTTGATGTGTGACACCAGCTGAAAGACATAGATTATGCTATCGGTGCCAGGAAATAAATACCATCAACCTATATTTTAAGTAATTTTTTATTGGCTCATTTAACGCTCAGATTTTAGGCTGGATGTAAGATGGAGATGTGAATTCAGCATGTGGCAGTGTTGGTTACATTTTTAAGAAGGAAAGGGTTAAATATGACTTTATCTATCTTTATGCTTACTATAATATATCAGAGCATCCATCCTTTGAGAAAAAGGATTTGAATTTAGGATACAGAAAATATATAACACTTGTACATTTTAAGATTTTTTCTATTATTTTAAAACTCTTATATTTTTGATGGATTACTCCATATTCAGCACACGGACCATATGTGTAACTGCTAATGTTGATGAAAGAAAAACTAAAAGCAAACTGTTCTTTCCTTAATAAGCACTGAAAATGTTGGTGAAGCGAAAAATACTCAGTGACCAAGACATTTTACAGAATGAATATAGAAGGCTGCCACAATCCTTCTCCATTCAGTTTGGTTTATTTTGTTTGATATATCAGACTATTGAACTTGGTTGGGGAATAAGCATTTAGATTAGCCCATTCTCTTTATATGATACAATGATGCCTCCTGAAAGAAAAGGACTGTAGCTAACGGTTTGGGAAGAGTTCTGTGAGTTGCTTCGTAGATTATTATTTGCAATCTTATGGACCTATTATTATCGGAAACTTTATGGTTAAAACAATGGAGGCTCAAAAAGGTTAAGTGAATTGTGAAAGGTGTGTAACTCATAATGTTGGAATTGGGATTTGAAGAGGAAGGAAATATTTCACCTCTGGGACAAAAAATAAAATGTATTGAACATCTAAGCCCCAAGGGCAAGAGACACCAGCAAACAAGATCTTTACGCGGGAGGCACCCTGGCCTCTCACCCAGGATGTGTAGATTCCTAATTCCTTTACACAAATGATGTATACTGTTATACAAATAATGTTTCATCAACTGCCCAGGGGGGCCTGAAAATGCCCTACATATGTTATACAATTGCTACAAGGATCAAGGAGGATATTTTATATTAAAGGTCATCGTAAGTGATCGGGTCATACAGATACGGATGCCCTTGGTGGCGTTTTCTCATCCCTGACCTTCTCAGGGATGAGTTGAATAAGGAATTATTGCATATTCTGGTATGGATTTGGCATTTTAATGAAAAGTAGAGGTTACTAAGTTGAGATTTCACCGAGTTCCCTAACGCATGTGTGTGGGAGAGTCCTGGAGGAAGGACGAGCACCTTGTTAGTCATCAGCTGTTCATCTTAGAGGTTTAGGTCAGCAGGCACCACAGCCAAATGAAGTTGCTACTCTTTGAGGCATCCCAGCAGCAGGATGAGCAAAGGCATGAAGACTAATTGTTTTCTAGATGTTTAATTAGACATTTCTCAAGGGACGGCTACCCAGAGTCATTTCAAATGATAACAACAACAAGAATATAAATATTTATTACATTCTTAACATGTGCTAATTAGTATGCTAAGGTATTTTTATGCACTTACTCCCTGATCTCCTATAACAATTCTATGTGGTAGGTATTATTACTGTTTTACTTTTTTTTTTCTGCAGGAAGGGAAGCTAAAACTTAAAAGCAAGAGAACTGCTTTAGAGCTGGGCTTTTCAAAAAAGAATTTAGAGAAGCAGATACACTTGGGTGGCATTCCAGAGAGCATCCAGTGACGACTGTGCTGGACTGTGTCTCCACATCGTGGCTGGTGAAAAGTTTGCTGCCCCTTGGCTTCGAACCCCTCCATAGCTTCCCACTTACATGCCTGTACTTGTGGGTTCCATCACTATGTACCTGTGGCTGCTAACACTACTGCTTCTGCTAATGTTGTTGTTAAAACTGATGGCTACCATGCATGGTGTATTATGTGCTAGGCCAGGTGCAAGGTATTCTATATGCTTACATAGATGTTTACAATAAGCATGTGAAAAGGTATATCTTCATTTTACAAGTGTGTACTTTCAGGCTGTGTGTGAACATATTTTCTGTGTATTTTTCTTTATTAGGTCATTCAGAATCATCTGAATTTTTCATTTCTCTTGCCATTCGAATCATATCTGTACTAGTAAGACAGAAAGCTTACCAAGCGTTAGCCATCAAATTGAGTGAACTTTGCACAATTTAACTCTTTCTTAGTCCTGTTTTAGGTGTTAGCACACCTGGGTTAAAATTTTCAGGTCTTTTGCCAAATAGTAGGTTTGTGGTTTTAGGTGTATTACTAATTTTTCTGGATCTCACTGCCTACTTCTTTCCAAAAAGCATAGTAATGCTTTCTCTGTCTTTCTTACCAATGGAGAGCAGTGACATTTTAATAATATTAATTTTTCAAATCTATGAGCTGAAAATATCTTCCATTTTTTGTGTGTGTCCTCTTCAATTTTTGTCATCATTGTTTTACAGTTTTCCTTACATAAATCTCTCACTTATTTGGTTAAATTAATTCCTAGGTATTTTATATTTTTTGTAGCTATTGTAAATAGGATTACCTTCTTACTTTTTTCTGATTGTTCACTGTTGGCATGTATAAATGCTACTGATTTTTTGTATTTGATTTTGTATCCTAAAACTTTACTCAAGTTATCAGTTCTAACAGTTTTGTGTGTGTGCGTGTGTGTGTGTGTGTAGTTTTTAGATTTGTCTAAATATAGTATTGGTCATCTGTGAACCAATAGTATATGAAAAGATCTTCAATATCACTAATCATCAGAGAAATACAAATCAAAACCACAAGGAGATATCATCTCACCCCAGTTAATACGGCTTTTATCAAAAAGACAGGGAATAATGAATGCTGGCAAGAATATGGAGAAAGGCAAACCCTCAAAGGCTGCTGATGGGAACATAAACTAGTGTAACCACTATGAAAAATAATATGAAGTTTCCTCAAAAAATAAAACTATATGATCCAGAAATCCCTCCACTGTGTATCTATTCAAAGAAGGCAAATCAATATATCAAAGCAATATCTGCCTTCCTATGTTGATTACAGCATTATTCATAATAGCTAAAGTATAGAATCAATCTAAGTACCCAGTAGTGGATGAATGGATAAGAAAATGTGGTATGTGGACACACTGGAGTATTATTCAGCCACAAAAAGAATAAAATCCTATTATTTGTAGCAACAGGGACAGATCTAAGGTCACTGTGTTAAATGAAATAAGCCAAGCACAGAAAGACAAATATTATATGTTCTTACTTATACGTGGGAGCTAAAAAACTGAATATCATGAAGATAGAAAGTAAAGTGGAGATAACCAGGCTCGGTGGCTCACGCCTATAATCTCAGCACTCTGGAAGGCTGAGGAAGGTGGATCACCTGAGGTCAGGAGTTTGAGACCAGCCTGACCAACATGGAGAAACCCTGTCTTCACTAAAAAGACAAAATCAGGCGGGCTTGGTGGCACATGCCTGTAAGCCCAACTCCTTGGGAGGCTAAGGCGGAAGAATCGCTTAAACCCGGGAGACAGAGGTTGCAGTGAGCTGAGATCGCACCATGGCACTCCAGCCTGAGCAACAAGAGGAAAATACCATCTCAAAAAAAAAAAAAAAAAAATGGAGATTACCAGAGGCCTGGAAGTGGGGGAGAGGAATGCAGAATAAACAGAAATTGATTAACAGGTAAAAAGATACAGATAGATGGAAGAAATAAGACCTAGTGTTTAATAGATCAGTAGCATGATGATAGTTAGTAGTAATCAATTGTACACTTTAGAATAGCTAGAAAAGAATAATGGATTCTTTCTCTGCTGCGAGCTTCCAAAATGACAAAGAAAAGAAGGAACAACGGTCGTGCCAAAAAGGGCCGCGGCCATGTTCAGCCTATTCGCTGCACGAACTGTGCCCGATGCGTGCCCAAGGACAAGGCCATTAAGAAATTCGTCATTCGAAACATAGTGGAGGCCGCAGCAGTCAGGGATATTTCTGAAGCGAGCGTCTTTGATGCCTATGTACTTCCCAAGCTCTATGTGAAGCTACATTACTGTGTGAGTTGTGCAATTCACAGCAAAGTAGTCAGGAATCGATCTCGTGAAGCCCGCAAGAACCGAACACCGCCACCCCGATTTAGACCTGCGGGTGCTGCCCCACGACCCCCACCAAAACCCATGTAAGGAGCTGAGTAAAAGATTGAAGACAACTATTCCCTGGAGAAAAATAAAATGGAAATTGTACTTGAAAAAAAAAAAAAAAAAAAAAAAAAAAAATGGAAATTTTACTTAAAAAAAAAAAAAAAAAAAAAAAAGAATAATGGAAATGTTACTAGCATAAGAAAAGATAAATATCTAAGGAGATGACTATCCCAAATAATCTTATTTGATCTTTGCTCATTATAGGAAGCTATCAAAATATCACTTGTAGCCTGAAAATATGTACATTTATTTATTTATTTATTTACTGAGATGGAGTTTCACTCTTGTTGCTCAAGCTGGAGTGCAATGGCGCAATCTCAGCTCACTACAGCCTCCGTCTCCTGGGTTCAAGCTATTCTCCTGCTTCAGACTCCCAAGTACCTGGGATTACAGGTGCCCATCCTCAACCCCAGCTAATTTTTTTTTTTTTTTTTTTTTTTTGGTAAAGACAGGGTTTTGCCGTGTGGTCCAGACTGGTCTCAAACTTTTGACCTCAGGCGATGTGCCTAGCTCGGCCTCCCAAAGTGCTGGGAAAATAGATGTGAGCCACTGTACCCAGCCCAATGTGTACATTTATTATGTAGCAATATTAACCAATGGAAAGAGACGGTAGATCACAATCATACACTACCACCACCACCACCACCACCACCACCACTATTCTTGACTCCGTTACCAGCAGCACCAAACCAAAATTCACGGAGCCTTTGTATAATATGAGCCAGGCACTCTTCAAGGTGCTTCATATCACACTCTGACCTTTGACAGAAAGCCTATTATCCCCATTTTATAGGTGGGGAAATTGAAGCACAGAGCAATTAAATAAATTGCTCAAGGACACAGGGTTTTAAGTCCTGAGAAACGATGTCAATGCCATTAGCTCTACTTGCTGCTTTTTCTCTTCAACCCATGGAAACCTCCCCCAGAAGACACAACTTTTTTTCTAGGTGAGCAGCATGTACTAATGTACCAATGATATTTTCCAGACACCTTTGCATCCTGTTTTAGAAAGAAAAATTCAGCTGTAAGTCTGTAGAAGCAAAGTACAGTCGTTTTGCACATTTTGGATGCCTGCATTTTAACCTTTGGCCACAAATAGATAAAACGTCTGCTTGAACTTACTGGTAGCAACTTAGACTGGTGATTCAGAGGACACATGGTAATATTTCTCAAGTAGATGAAAATTGGAACCTGCAAAAATTTATCAAGGATATTCTTCAAAGACTCCAGGATCCTTTTTTGTTATGTGATTTTCACAGTGACTGGCAAAAGAGGGGCCATTTATCTCTAATGCTCTCATTTTGAGAAGTACACTCTGATCTGTAAGATAGCAGATGTGAATTTTTAGTCTTTTTATCCATGTATATTACATTGACACCCATGAATGCCAAAGGAACAAGTGAAAAAATATATATATCTTAGAGCAAAATCAAAGTTTTCTGGAAATGGAGATGGGTATATTTCAGGATTCTCTAGTGAAGGCAGTCACCTTATCAGGGTGCAGAGAGAGTTGGACTTGGAAAAGTTGATGGTGAAACATTTTAAGGATTTCACCAAGTTTGGTTAGAGTTCTTATTCTCCAGAGATAGTCATTATTAGTACTCCAAATAAAGTCAGCTCTAACCAGGCAGTTTTTTCCAATCAATTTCTTCAGTTTAAACTGTGGAAGGGGTCACATGGTAAAATCTCTCTGATTACTAAAAATGTGCATATACTTTGATCTAGTTCCTTCCTGGATTTTATCTCACTGACATACATGTGTATTTGAGAATTTAGATATAAGAATATTTATTGTATCATGCTTTATAATGAAAAAATTTTCTAAACAACCTAAATCTTTATCAGGAGGAATCTAACACTATAGCTTCAGCATGTGTCAAGCAACAATTGACAAAATTTTAATGAAAAGTTGTCTAAAAAATATTTCTTCAAAATTTTAAATACTGTCTTTAATAAAAATTGAGTAGTCAAATTACTAAGGCTATAAGTGATTTGAATAGCACATTAAAAGCCTGTTCTGATAAACACATAAACATTGCAGTCAATGTTAGCAAACACACACTTTTTCAAGTACAAACGGGACTGAACTAACTAAATGTGAAAGAACCCGAGTCAATCAAATATTAATACTTTCTCTGGCCACCATGCAATAAAATTATGAATCAATGAAAAACCTGAGAACTGAAAAACTCAACAAAGGATTACTAACTGAAATATATAAAGAACTCATATACCGTAAAAATAAAATAACCGAATGCATAAACGGACAAAGATTATAAACATCTGATTCCCAGAGAAAGAACCAGAAATCTCTATACTTACATTAAAGAAATGCTTGATCATACTAATAATGAGGGAAATTAAAATTACAATAACGATAAGACATCATTTTATAGATTGACAAACTTGAGTTTATCTTATAAGGCCAGTGTTTTTAAAGATGTGGGAGGAAAGAAACACATTCATTGTTGGTAACGTGTTAGTCGGTTCAATAAGAAGGGCATAGCCTTTCTAGCCAGCAATACTACATAAACTTCCCACCCCACGGAATGGCTTGCCTTTTAAGATTTCCATGCAGAAGAATTCTTACCATGGCACTGTTGATAACAGGGAAAACATGAAACAATCTAATTGTCCCACGTAAGGGGAATATTATATTCATACAATGTTGGACTAAGCGTTTAAAAATGAATATAATATTTACATGCATTGATACATGCATGCATACACATATGAAAAATCTAAAACCATACTATTATCTGAAAAAGGAAGCTGCAAAAAGATATGCAGAATATAATAGCATTTCAGTAGAATTTAAACAATAAGAAGTTTTTCTGATGGTTAATATTGAGCATCAACTTGATGGGATTGAAGGATGCCAAGTATTGTTTCTGGGGTGTCTGTGAAGGTGTTGCCAAGGGAGATTAACATTTGAGTCAGTGGGCTGGGAGAGGTGGCCCCACCCTCAATCTGGGTGGAAGAACTAGACTGGCTGAGTCTTTTGGCCTTCACCTTTTTTTTTTTTTTTTTTTGAGATGGAGTCTTGCTCTGTTGCCTAGGCTGGAGTGCAGTGGTGTGATCTTGGCTCACTGCAACCTCGACCTTCCAGGTTCATGCAATTCTCCTGCCTCAGCCTTCTGAGTAGTTGGAATTAAAGGCACATGCCAGAATACCCAGCTAATTTTTTTTTTTTTTTTTGTATTTTTAGTAGAGATGACATTTCACTATGTTAACCACATTGGTCTTAAACTCCTGACCCTAAATGATCCGCCCGCCTCAGCCTCCCAAAGTGCTGGGATTACAGGCATGAGCCACTGTGCCTAGCTGGCCTTCATTTTTCTCCCATGCTGGATGCTTCCTGCCCTTGAACATCGAACTCCAATTCTTCAACGTTGGACTCTTAGACTTACACCAGTGGTTTTACAGGGGCTCTCGAGTCTTCGGCCACAGACTGTGGGCTACACTGTTGGCTTCTCTACATTTAGGGTTTGGAAACTTAAATTGGCTTCCTTGCTCCACAGCTTACAGATGGCCTATTGTGGGACTTCTCCTTGTGGTTATGTGAGCTAGTGCTTCTCAATAAACTTTCTTCCATGTATTTATCTGTCCTCTTAGTCCTGTCCCTCTGGAGAACCTTGACTAATATAATATTCTTATCCAATAAGAAGATATTCTTATCCAAGAATGTATTTAGTAAAAGTTAGAAAAAATACAGGGAATACTACATATCAAGATAAAGAAAATGGCAATAATATTCCTATAGAGTAAGAAGGTATTCTTATCCAAGAATGTATTTAATAAAAGTTAGAAAAAATACAGGGAATACTACATATCAGGATAAGGAAAATGGTAATGTCTGGAGTAAAAATGAGAAGTAATGGGTAATAGTGTGTTTTTTCGTATATATGAAATTTTCCATTTTTCCTCCCTTTCTCCTTCCCTCCTTATTTTCCTTTTTCCTTCTTTCTCTTCCTTTCTACACGAGTTCTTAAGCAAATGTGTCACAATTTTAAACACAATTTTTTGTTGATGGGCACACAGGTTTTGTTTATATTCTTTACTTTTTCACAGGAACAATTATTTTAATATACAATAATATACAATTAAATGACATCTTTGAGAGAAAAGAATTCAAAATAACGTTAAAACATAGACGTAATATTTACTTATGTGCCAAATGTCCTTGGCAAGAAATATTATTTTTTGTTTCTTGCTAGTGGCTAAACATAACTATTTGTTTATTTATAAAAATAAGTGAACAATACAATGAACAATTATTAATTGAAGTTGTTACTAACATTTCACCCTAATTCCTTCACAGTTTTATTCTTTTTTTTTCTAACCTTATTTTACTGTCTTCCCTAGAAATATTTTCTTCTTTTCCTAGCTTTATTGAGGTATGACTGACAAATACAAATTATACATATTCAAGGTGTACAGCATGATGATCCCATGTGCCTACACACTGTGTAATGATTGCCACATTAAATTAATGAACACATACATTACCATCCACAGCTACCATGTGTGTGAGTTGAGGTGAGGTGTGTGCAGTAAGGACACTTAACATCTTATCAAGTGGGCAGTACAGTATTAATCTTTCCCATACTTTTTAATTGCTTCATAATTAAAAGTGAAATTTTTAAAAAAGGTATCACTTGACTATAATGCTCTTTTCTGTTCACATTTTCTGGCCCTGAACTAGGCCCTTGTCACCACATGCCCTGTCACTTCTGGAGTACCCTAGCAATATCCCCAGCCTCCCATGCAATCTAGCTGGCATATTGCTTCCAGAACCTTCCTAAAAATACCACGAAGTAGCTAGAACAAGCATCAGTAAGTTCTCATTTAGAGATAACCAAAAAGACTCTGATTCATCCGAGATTTTATAGGCAGAATTAGGACTTAAACCACTCAGGTGTCAATCCAGTGCTTATAATGTCATTATGCATCACCTAAAGCAATTTCATGTCCTTTCTGCCTCAAAATAAACTTCAAGATTATTGCCTATAATATACGAACATGGTTAAGATCAGGAGAGCATAGATTTCACCTGTTAAGTCAAGTTTAGTTAG